GTGGATAATGATACAAAGTCAGTTATATTGGTGGATAATGATACAAAGTCAGTTATATTTTTGGATAAGGATACAGAGTCAGATATATTGGTGGATAATGATACAAAATCAGTTATATTTGTGGATAATGATACAAAGTCAGTGATATTTGTGGATAATGATACAAAGTCAGTTATGTTGGCGGATAATGATACAAAGTCAGTTATATTGGTGGATAATAATACAAAGTCAGTTATATTGGTGGATAATGATACAAAATCAGTTATATTTGTGGATAATGATACAAAGTCAGTTATATTGGTGGATTATGATACAAAGTCAGTTATATTGGTGGATAATGATTCAAAGTCAGTTATATTGGTGGATAATGATACAAAATCAGTTATATTTGTGGATAATGATACAAAGTCAGTGATATTTGTGGATAATGATACAAAGTCAGTTATGTTGGCGGATAATGATACAAAGTCAGTTATATTGGTGGATAAGGACACAAAGTCAGTTATATTGGTGGATAATGATACAGAGTCAGTTATATTGGTGGATAATGATACAAAGTCAGGTATATTGGTGGATAATGATACAAAGTAAGTTATATTGGTGGATAATGATACAAAGTCAGTTGTACTGGTGGATAATGATACAAAGTAAGTTATATTGGTGAATAATGATAAGGACACAAAGTCAGTTATATTGGTGGATAATGATACAAAGTCAGTTGTATTGGTGGATAATGATACAAAGTAAGTTATATTGGTGGATAATGATACAAAGTCAGTCATATTGGTGGATAATGATACAAAGTCAGTTATATTGGTGGATAAGGATACAAAGTCAGGTATATTGGTGGATAATGATACAAAGTCAGTTATGTTGGTGGATAATGATACAAAGTCAGTTATATTGGTGGATTATGATACAAAGTCAGTTATATTGGTGGATAATGATATAAAGTCAGTTATATTGGTGGATAATGATACAAAGTCAGTTGTACTGGTGGATAATGATACAAAGTAAGTTATATTGGTGGATAATGATACAAAGTCAGTCATATTGGTGGATAATGATACAAAGTCAGTTATATTTGTGGATAATGATACAAAGTCAGTTATATTGGTGGATAAGGACACAAAGTCAGTTATATTGGTGGATAATGATACAGAGTCAGTTATATTGGTGGATAATGATACAAAGTCAGTTGTATTGGTGGATAATGATACAAAGTAAGTTATATTGGTGAATAATGATAAAAGTCAGTTATATTGGTGGATAATGATACAAAGTCAGTCATATTGGTGGATAATGATACAAAGTCATTTATATTAGTGGGTAATGATACAAAGTCAGTTATATTGGTGGATAAGGACACAAAGTCAGTTATATTGGTGGATAAGGAGGGATGTTTTAGGTTTTCTGGGCGGTAACTGTGGATAAAGATTGAACGTAGGCCAATTTTTGCGAATAAGGATTGGTGTCAGGTAATATTTGCGGAAAAGGATAGATGTCAGTTAATATTTGCGGATAAGGAGGAATGTCGGTTAATATTTGCGTTTAAGGATGGATGTCAGTTAATATTTGCGGATAAGGATGAATGTCGGTTAATATTTGCGTTTAAGGATGGATGTCAGTTAATATTTGCGGATAAGGATGGATGTCAGTTAATATTTGCGGATAAGGATGGATGTCAGATGATATTTACGGATAAGGATGGATGTCAGTTAATATTTGCGGATAAGGATGAATGTCGGTTAATATTTGCGTTTAAGGATGGATGTCAGTTAATATTTGCGGATAAGGATGGATGTCAGTTAATATTTGCGGATAAGGATGGATGTCAGGTGATATTTGCGGATAAGGATGGATGTCAGTTAATATTTGCGGATAAGGATGGATGTCAGGTAATATTTGCGGATAAGGATGGATGTCAGATGATATTTACGGATAAGGATGGATGTCAGTTAATATTTGCGGATAAGGATGGATGTCGGTTAATATTTGCGTTTAAGGATGGATGTCAGGTAATATTTGCGGATAAGGATTGATGTCAGGTAATATTTGGGAATAAGGATAGATGTCAGGGAATATTTGCAGATAAGGATGGATGTCAGGTAATATTAGGGGAGATATATCTTATATTTGTTGGCGGATTGGTCGAGTGGTTAAAACTCAGGTCTTCCACACATGCGGCCGGGGTTCAATCCAACATGTCGTCGTTCGCATGGAGTATTCAGAGAAAGTGTTTTTCTCCTGCCAACACAGCTCCAACAACCCATGTGGAGTATAAAATGATCTGGGGTGGATGTTGTGGCATCTATTCTGTAGCTTTCAAGTGAGATGGCACTATAAATGATACTGTTGGAAGCACGGTCCCACTACAGACAGAACACAATACATCTCCAGCACCCACGCAGGTATACACACAGGGAATTATTAGACGGTGGCAAAGGATTAGTTGCTAGCGCCTGATAAGGCAGCTCCTACGAATTTCTCAAAATTGTATTGATTAATGTATATGCTAATTGTATTGATTGCATAAATTGTATGTCTATGTACTGTAAAGCGCTTTAGAGTGACGTATTCTAGCTAGATAGGACGCTATATCAAATGTTGTATATTATAATCCTTAAATGTCCTTATAAGCAAACATATGTATCGTTATTAGACGTGGTTTTATCCGGCCTGAGTCAACAGGTGCTCTTCAGACTTCCCCACTTAACTTATCCGGTCCACCACGTCCGCACAAACAGATGCTCTATTTATTTAGACTGTATGGAGAAACCCGTATTTTAGACGACCATATTTAAGCCTTTCTTGTGTTGTCTCTTAATACAGATATGACCATATTTGAATATGTCCTAAACTTTATTGATATAACTGTTAAAAAACCGTGAAGATGTTTTGTTATAATATAAGCCTCAGTAACGATTCATCAAATGTATTAACTTGTTAAATGGTTAATAAATCGTGAAGAGAGGAGATATGGGGGATATGCCTCAGATAATGGTAGCAATCATCTTTAAGTAAACACTTCTAACAATCACGTATACGGTGACTGTTCAATTTCAATGCTTCTTCCGGTGATAACACGTTAATTAAAAAGGTCAAGGACGTACACAATCTACACATGCATGAGTTGTTACTGGTTTATTAGTTTAATAACAAAATAGATTGTGATAGCCAGACGTTTCAAGCCTAAAATGTGAGATTGATTGAGTTCCTGGTTACGTGATAATATCTTTGTTCGGTTCGGTGACTAAATTGTGGTTTCCATCAGACTGTAGGCATTCGTATAGGAACAAACGGTGCCCCTCTTTTGACCAACATGTTTTGTTTCCAAATGAAGCTGGATTTTTTGATGAGTTTATCGGCACAAATAATAAAATCATAGCAAAGCCTTCCATTTCACGTTCAACAATAAACAAGAATTGACGAACGCGATCGTATATACCCTCATTAACTTGAATTTAAACCACTGCAGAATCTTTTACTTAGCCGATTTCCTTATTTTTACTTGCAACAAGACCAACAGGAATAGCCTTCTACTAACCCATACGATAAGCAGTACGAATTCAACTCCCTTTCTCGATAGTAACATCCCTGCTTCACAAAGATTCGGTTTTCAAGAGCTTGCTTCGGATATCATGAGTTCTGTATCGATACGTCTTATTACCATATAAAATAAATACCCAGGAGTTACGTTAGACATTTATTGACCACTTCGACGTAACCAATTTGCGTTTTCGGTTTTTGCAAATGTCAGTCACCAAAATAAATCACGGTTTAAATTTCGCATTTTACTACGCTTCAAATGAACTTTCTGTCAGCATTTTAGCATTTTACAATATTTCTATACGCTGAATCTATTACATCAGTTCGAAACAGAATGCATAGTCCTAGCATGTGCCATTGTTGAACAATTTAACCAAAAAAAAAATATGAATTTGATTTTGAAATACGTCTTTTAGTGCTTTTTGAATTCTAATATTCTAATATCATCTTTAGACAAAACTGATGCAGGTCCAATTGTTTGCAATTATCATCTTTACTATAATTCTATTGTTATCAAACGTCGGCAATGTCAGATAAACTACCCGATGGTTCCCTCAATTCATTTTCATCAATATGTATTTCTATACTATTGTCAATATTAGGAAATGTCTTTGTCAGACTCTCGTACACCGAGATATCATTGGGTGGCGATGACAGGGACTTGCCACACAGGTCCTGCGTCAATACAGCGGCAAAAGCTTGGAACAGCAAATTCACTATGGAGCGAATACGGTCTCTGAAACGACATGATTAAGTAACTTAACTTTGATTTAACAGACCCGTAGGTCCAATAAAAGAATAACAACATGTGTGTTATAATGATACAAAAAAAGCAACATCAACAACACCCACAACAAAACAATGATGAATAGTAAGTTGCTAAAATAGTATGATTTTCAGATGTTCCTTTCAACTTGAAAGGGATTGGCACATTATCCCAAATCCATAATGAGGCATGATAAAGTTGAAATGTCTTTGGGTGTTGATAACATTGCAGGAATTACGATCATTAAGCCTGCAAAATGTGCTGTAAAGTAAAGTTTTTGCACTATGTCTAAGGTTTCGTCCCGGTACGTCCCTTCCTACACTGAAAATACACTGAAATATCCTGTTTGTAGTAACTAACATTTGGAACTGCCAAATAATGGAACAATGGTTGCTGTGGATACATCATCTTAAAATTCAGCTTTTCACATACAGTGTAAGATTTATTTCCACAGATATTGAAACGTCCCATGAACATTCGACCTTTTTACCGATTATCTCGTTACAAAATGAGACGTCTTTCATTGAACATCGAACTGCTAGATCTTCGAGAACAGCATAAATTTCATTTATCCTTACTAATTAGAATGAAAATAGATATCACATAATGCTATTTTTCTTCTTCGTTTTTTTATGTTTATAATATGACATTATTCGTCACATTACAAGGAAACTCTGGCAAATGTGAATAAAACAGTTATCCAAGCTTTGATATGGATTCTGGTTTTCTGGATGAATGTGTCCCGTTGACCGTCGGACAAAGGACATTAATGATGTTATCATGACCAGCTTTACATCTAGGATATTTTTAATTTCCTATAATGACTGAATACCCTTTTTTGTGTTTTTGGTTGTTTGTGACGAACAATACTGTGTACCGGGTAATTTGTGAGGTGATCTTATTTTCACGCTATTCCCAGTAAGATTCAAACGCAATTCAACAATTCAACAATTCAACAATTCAGTGAAACATGTTTAAAGCATTATTATAAGGTCTTGGTATAGGCCAAAGACAAACAGTAACACACAGTAGAATAGACTGTCCGGGCTGATAAATAGTCCCGTGAATTGAAAGAGTACACATATTTTAAAACGCATTCCATTCATGCTATACTCGATATGTTGGTATAGACTTATTGGAGACTTTAATTCTTTTAAAATACCACAGCAACACTTGCCTCTGTGAAGAACTACAACAGGATCCCTTTTAGATACCGAGCACATCAAAATGTTTATTAATGTCACTGTGTTAAAAATGAATTCACCAGTCTGTTTTCAAAGAAATTGAAACTGTATCAATATCAATTTCCTAAAGGAAATGCGTAAATAACACTACGGAAATTCATAGCTATTAAAAGTACTTTCCTGTATTTGACGAATGACATCAATACGGGGTGAAGCATTTTTGGTCCGGAAAAACTGTTCCGGAATACCTACATTTCCTGAGTTATTTTCAGAGGGTGTAGATCGTGTATTTACGACGTAGTACACTGTTGTTACGCCCACAGTATGATCAATATGTGTGTAATTATTTACAGAATACTTACATAAACCAGTCGAACGTGTAGAGCAGAGTGACGGCCTCTGTCGGGATGTTAAGCGCTGCTGTAACAATGATTACCGCCATCAGTGCAGAGGAGGGAACAGGAGGCGCACCAGTTGATGTTATTGTCGTCAAAAGACTGCAGTTGAGAACATGTGTATATATAAAATATATTATTAAAACATTGATAACATATTTAATATTTCCTTACGAAGGTTTACGATTCAGTAGATATCTCTTTATAGACATGACACTTTTCAATCGATCTTGTGTAGCGTCGTAAGACACTTTAGTTTTAGCAGTTCGAGTTTAATCCGTATTTCTACTTTACGAAGTTTTCAGCATTCTCTACCAAACGAGTACTTACGTTAACACGGTACAACTATTCCTCTATACTGTAGACCGTCAAAGGATTTTGTTTTTATAAAATTTAAACTTTACCGGCCAAATTATTTAAAGTCATTTTTTCTTTGAAGCAGAATAAAGTTACATAGTTATTAACAGAAGTCATAACACCGAAAAACACTATGCTACAATATTTAATATGTGCTTGAAGTGGTCAGTTTTAATTAAATATGCTTACCATATTAGCATAACATTAGCTACGTTTAGAAGCGTCCCCATCAACTGACAGACAAAGATGGCCGACATGGCGATGTAGAGGGCTGTTCCTGTCCGGCCAAGAGTCATTATAAATGGCATGACAAATCGACTCACTCTCTTGTCCACGGCACAATCCGTCTCTAGAATGGTCATCACAGCAGGCATGGTGATGGGTCTGAAACACGTAGACGTGAGGATCAAATGTTTGAAATTAATAAAGACACACACAAATTTGTTATAGATTTTAAAATATTTTTACATGTAAGAACATGTATCTCATATGGAAAATGCTGGATAGCGAGCCGAAATATCATCACAAATATCCGTTCCACTGCTTAACACTGAAACTAAGCATTGCAAACTTGTGTTGTGACATGACTACTCCTCCAAGAAAGTATTTCAGAAAAGACAACTTTCATCGGAGGTATCTGAGTTGATGAAGTCATGATTCTTTGTCTGTTTTATTCTGATTTTTTGAAACGACATTTTATTACAAAATAGTTGATAAATCAATGTTGTCATATTTCGCTGATATCGAAGAAGAAAAAATAAGCTGATCGCTGAGTTATTTGTATCACTTGAGTTTTGAACAATATAGCGCTTTAAACATTTTAATCCTGAACTGATATGAAATTAACGTGTAAACAAGTAGATGACATAAAAGTTGTAGGAGTTAAATAATAAACTCAACAACAGTGTTCTATGTCAGGAGTGGGGCAAACTCATCAGGGTAATACCTGGTATTCGAACCCCGGACCTGTAAACTCTTCAATATCGCTCTTATCGAACTGTTCAATGGTACTTATACGGCCAAGCCCTACTGCAGTAATAACTAAACGCAATCAAAGGGAGATAATTTCTGTAGAAAAACCTACATTAAAGGTATCTAGTGTTAAGAGACGCAATCTTCTAGTAAAAAGTAAAGCTAAGCTCGATTTTAACTATTCTACACTATGTGCAAGATATCCAAAATCTACAAAAAAATATAATATGTATGCATACTTAAATATATCTTTAGTTAAGTTACATAGTTATCCTGATATTTAGTTACATGTTTTACAGATATTTGCATAACTGACTGTGATATTTTACACTTGTGTTGTAATGTTGTTATTCATTCTGTAAGTGGACCATTGGGTCCGCTGAATTGGAAATAAATAAATAAATAAAACCCACATATTACACATATATTTAGTTAAGATTCATAGTTACACATATATTTAGTTACATAGTTACACATATATCGAGGTACATAGTTACACATAATAGTTACATAGTTACACATATATCGAGGTACATAGTTACACATATATTTGGCTACATAGTTACACATATATTGAGTTACATATTACACATATATTGAGGTACATAGTTACACATATATTGAGATACATTGTTACACATATAGTAAGTAACTTACGAATTTGCTGTTGCAAACGCCAGCATTATGGGTTGGGACAGAGATAATATGAAGGTAAATGGATTGGTCCGCCGTAAAATGGCATAGCTGATGGGCATCAAAAGACCGCACATGATCAATCCTGTTGTAACCGCCAAAATGAACATTCCCAACTTCTGGAAATCAGCTTCTATGTTCTCCGCCGAACATATGGTTTTTGCAATTAGACTTGCCACTCCAATAGGGGTTACCCTAGAAACGAAACACTGTATAGCTGTACAGGAGTACACGTATATCATAGTATAAGACAATAATACGATGTATTATAGTTTTTGCGTTACTCGATCATTTGAATAAAATATGCTATTCCGATTAGTTTGAAACAATATTGATTTCTTGCTATTATTTCCAATTCTTTTATGTTGTATTGGAAGTTTGTTTTGAACTCGAGATAAAGTTCAAAAGGTTGAAGTATGTTTTAAAGCCAAATTCATCGTAACACGTGCAATGCTGACCGTATCGCATACTCTGTCTACGTTACTGTGCGTTAAATTTGGTTTTCATTTTACAGTGTTTTCTCTTACTGTCATTTACAATAGTTTTCCTTAAGCTGTTTCAACTGACATAAACACAATAACGGCATAACTGTGCAACTGTAAGAGGCGGCCACTTATCTCTGTAGGTAGACATCTGAACAGTTTGTTTGTTTGTGTTTTACGTCCTATTAACAGCTATAGTCATTTAAGGACGCGCCATGTTGTTTTGGTAGTGGAGGAAAGCCAGAGTTCCCGGAGAAAAAACACCGACCTAAGGCCAGTACCTGGCTACTGCCCCACGTAGGTCTCGAAACCGCGACCCAGTGGTGGAGAGCTAGCTATACATAGTGATAGCAGAATTTCAGACGCCTTAACCAATTGGCCACCACGGCCTCTCATCTTTACAGAATATCTTTTAAGAATTACTATCTTCGTTAAATCGCGAAAATGAAAATGAATATGTCAACTTATCTATGAGATTAGTGCACGATAAGTACAATAAGCAATTTGTTTAAAGTTTAATGTTCTCGTAATATGAAGACGAGTACCTATTGGATAAAGCATGTCTATTATTTTTCTGAACATTTACTGGGAAGTAAAACGGATAACTAATCTTATCAACTGATATCATTGTGATAGTGGAATAATGTAACTAAATCTTACCAACTGATGTTATTGTGATAGTGAATTAGTGTAACTAAATCATACCAACTGATATCATTGTGATAGTGGAATAATGTAACTAAATCTTACCAACTGATGTTATTGTGATAGTGAATTAGTGTAACTAAATCATACCAACTGATGTTATTGTGATAGTGGATTAATGTAACTAAATCTTATCAACTGATGTTATTGTGATAGTGAATTAGTGTAACTAAATCATACCAACTGATGTTATTGTGATAGTGGATTAATGTAACTAAATCTTATCAACTGATGTTATTGTGATAGTGAATTAGTGTAACTAAATCATACCAACTGATGTTATTGTGATAGTGGATTAATGTAACTAAATCTTATCAACTGATGTTATTGTGATAGTGAATTAGTGTAACTAAATCATACCAACTGATGTTATTGTGATAGTGGATTAATGTAACTAAATCTTATCAACTGATGTTATTGTGATAGTGAATTAGTGTAACTAAATCATACCAACTGATGTTATTGTGATAGTGGATTAATGTAACTAAATCTTATCAACTGATGTTATTGTGATAGTGAATTAGTGTAACTAAATCATACCAACTGATGTTATTGTGATAGTGGATTAATGTAACTAAATCTTATCAACTGATGTTATTGTGATAGTGAATTAGTGTAACTAAATCATACCAACTGATGTTATTGTGATAGTGGATTAATGTAACTAAATCTTATCAACTGATGTTATTGTGATAGTGAATTAGTGTAACTAAATCATACCAACTGATGTTATTGTGATAGTGGATTAATGTAACTAAATCTTATCAACTGATGTTATTGTGATAGTGAATTAGTGTAACTAAATCATACCAACTGATGTTATTGTGATAGTGGATTAATGTAACTAAATCTTATCAACTGATGTTATTGTGATAGTGAATTAGTGTAACTAAATCATACCAACTGATGTTATTGTGATAGTGGATTAATGTAACTAAATCTTATCAACTGATGTTATTGTGATAGTGAATTAGTGTAACTAAATCATACCAACTGATGTTATTGTGATAGTGGATTAATGTAACTAAATCTTATCAACTGATGTTATTGTGATAGTGAATTAGTGTAACTAAATCATACCAACTGATGTTATTGTGATAGTGGATTAATGTAACTAAATCTTATCAACTGATGTTATTGTGATAGTGAATTAGTGTAACTAAATCATACCAACTGATGTTATTGTGATAGTGGATTAATGTAACTAAATCTTATCAACTGATGTTATTGTGATAGTGAATTAGTGTAACTAAATCATACCAACTGATGTTATTGTGATAGTGGATTAATGTAACTAAATCTTACCAACTGATCTAATTGTGATAGTGGATTAATGTAACTAAATCTAACCAACTGATATTATTGTGATAGTAGATTAATGTAACTAAATCGTATGTACTGATATTATTGTGATAGTGAATTAATGTAACTAAATCTTACCAACTGGTATTATTGTGATAGTGGATTAATGTTACTAAATCTTACCAACTGGTATTATTGTGATTGTGGATTAATGTAACTAAATCTTACCACATGATCCACCTCAGTACCTGCATGATTACTTCACCTGATGCGTTAAAGAACGCTTGGAACGGCTTGCTGACGTCACGGAGAACGCCAGATGCTATCCCGAACATGGTACAAATCACAACCAACCCTGTATAACAGTCAATCGAACTTGTGTATAAACTGCTGATATTCGATGGGATTTAGAAATACCTTAAACGTAGTAAAGAATAATTTCAACTTGAATATGATCATATCTATCTTTACAAACTGTAAACTTATCTATATAAGCAAAGACTACCTATGCTTAATCAGGATTGAACATACAAGTGACACCTTGTTTGAGCTCGAACGTGTATTTGACATGATTCATTGTTTTTGTTCTGAAAGTGAATTTTACCTATGATATTTGGACTTCTGACCGTCGAGATTTGTCGTATCCTGGTGCCTGTCAGTAAAGGAAAGGTTCCGTTTACTATAAACTCAATTTGCACAGCTGGTTTTACAGTGTACGTTGTCTGTGTCTGAAATATTGAATTGAGTTAAGATTATGGCAGGTTCATAGCTTTTCATCTCGCGGGAGTCACCAAAATCTCACCGGAACTAAGACGGTAAAATATTGTGCGATCATGGCCTTTAATTATCCAAGCACACATGGGTTCCCTATCATAAACCCGTTATATACTAGAGATCGTCCGCTCCAACATTCTTGCTTATTTTCAACGAACACTATCATGTTTTTCCTATGATGATCTTTCATACCAGCTTGAAGTTTCAATTGTTCTCAATGTGGTATATTTTAGCCCTACCTTGAGTTGATGCGTTGGTCTATTTTGTCCCTGTGTGTGAACGCTATGGTACTTATTAGCATAGAAAGCTGACGCGTGTGTGTGTGTTATCGCTGTAGTACTTTTTGTCGTTGGGTTACAATCTGTTCTGGTATGTGGTTGTGTAATTTTATTTCATAAGTATCGTTTACTTAAGATCATTTGAGACCCTTCGATTTGAAAAATGACTCCCTTTTCAAGTGATCATATATTAACAACTTCATATATTTGATAAAATCAATTAACTAATATTAATTTTTATATATGATAAGGGATTATTGTCCTTTTACAAGAATATGTGGGAATAAATGAACATCTGACGCTGTTCCCTCATAAATCAGTACTTTAAGTTATTGCATTTATACAGGATTATCTGCTTTTGTCGCATTTGCTGTGAACAAACCGTTATCCTATTCACTGATTAAACTATAACTTTCGTTAAGAAGAAAGTTGATGTTAGAAGAAGATCGCAGTGCCAATTGCGTTCTAAAGCTGATTTACAAATTATGTAACACATATACACCTGATCATCATTTCACGAAATGTTATAATACAGCTGGGGAGGTAAATCTATGCATGTAGAGCAACACGGACTTAGGTCGATATGTGATTTAATGGAAGGGAGATAACTACAGTTGTCGTTTAAACTGGAAGTATGGTAATTTAGACATTTGTATGACGCACTCAATATCATCAGAGTTGCCATACGTTTATATTGCAATACAATGTTGGCACCTCCAACATATATGGACCGGGGGTAGTTTCATAATGGAAAAGGTCGTTAAATATATAGCACGTAAGACTTTAAACATGCTTTAAGGCGCAATGATTTCTGAACTGAAATTGTGGTCATGGAAGGTTACCTGTATCTGCAGCTAGGGACAAGTGAGTAAACAGATATGTTGGGAACTTGACGCCAAGTGATGAAATTTGAAGGATGATATAAATAAGCATTGCCATTTTTCCTCTACCTTTATCAGTTAAGTAAAAAGCAGTCAGCTTGGTTTTTGCAACACAAATTTATTTTAATGATTTCGTCTTCGGTTCATGTGCACAGAGGCGTGAAAGAAAGATTATTTACAGTGATTTTTTTTTACCTTTTTGTGTGTGCAGGGTTTCAGATCAAAGATAAAAGATGGTGTCTGTACTAGCATGTGAGGGCTCCAACGGCTGCATAGGGTAAGTGTCAGTTTGAAGTCCCCAAGTGTTGTGCGTTCTACTGCTGCTATGGAAAGGAGATTCCATTGCGTTATTGTGTAAAGAATGGATATTTGTATGCATAAGGGTGTGCGTGTCTGGTTCGAGGGTCAACAGGGGTGAGTATATATGTTCGGTTTGTAAGCGTCGTGTTTGTAGTGTTGGCCATTGTAGTGGGCGAATCATGTCTGTTGTTTACGTAGTGTGCTGCTCTTCGTTGTGTTCCTTCTATTTGTTGAATGTTGTTTGTGTTGTGTGGGTCCCAACTAGAAGACCAGTATTCGAGTTTTGGTCTAACTAGTTCTTTGTATCACACCTGTGTGCCGATCATAAAAAATAAAAGTTTTCGATTAGCTTTTTAAATACTATAAGCGTATACTAACAGTATTCTCACTTTCGCTTTTTTCACACTTCAGATTTTGCGCTTAATGATGATTGCGTTAAAGGTCCTTCAAATATTTTTAATGCATATTAGTGCATCAATTCCTATAATTGATTATTTGCTAATTCGCTTATACGCTAAATTCTGAGCCCAGGGAAATTAGTATTTTTTAGATATTTGATATTCATTTTTTTCAACTTTCATGTACGACTAAAATGCAAGGATTTCAATTGATCAACTTGTTTACTTTTTTTCAGTCTTAGTAATTTAATGCCAAAATTCGCGACCTACACTTGTGCACTTGTAATTTGCCTTTTGATAATGATTGATTTCTTTCAAGAATGCTAACAAAATTGGTGTCCTTCGAAGACTGTTACTTAGTCATTCAATGTTGTGTTGTAAATACTTGTAGCTGGTGTTTGCTGCTGACAAAAGTGCTTATGAACATACCTGGAGAAAGGTGGCCTCAATGATATTATCTGGAAAAAAATTCCTGAAACAGAAATGAAAAGGCTTTAAATGAGCACAGAATCAATTTATATGTGACGTCAATGTTTCGTATCTATTTTTAACGTTACACAATCGAATGTTCCGAAAAAAACAATATTGCATTTTTTTTTTGAAACCAGAAGTCTTTCACTCTACTCGTCATTAAACTGCATTTAAAAAGATTGAACAAAGATCCTTAAACTATCTCAATGGCGTCATGTAAGAATGTTATATACATGTACATATTATATTATAACCATCATTAGAATAACCGGAATTAACCGTTTTTGTGTATTATGGTATTCTGTCTCCGTATCTTGTTTCTATGTTTTGTTGTTTGACTTCCTGTTTCCGGGAATACAATGAAAAGTTGAAGAGTGAAGTTGTTTCGATTCATCTCTTAATAATCCTCTCACATCGCAAACCCAGTACAAGGAGATCTTATAGCAAAAATAATATATGTGACCGATGTGTTAAACAGCTCTTATAATAAAGCCGTGTAAATGTGTGGGACCAAATACAGGTACAATTGTACAGTTAATGGCATGAAGTGCTTCATAGAGGGGAAACAGTGCTCGATCAAAGTTCGTAAGATGTGTTGAACATATTTATCAATTATATATATCAGCTATATAAGTAAACACTTGCAACATGCCATCGTTGACTGCTGCCTGTTGGTTAATACTAAACAGCCTGCATTCAATTGTTGGTTGTTCGATGCAGGACGGTGAACTCCAAACAAACACGTTTATTGGAAAAGTTACCGTAAAAGGTCGGCCAATACATCACTGGTGTCCGTAGGAGAGCTATTATTGGACTGGTGTTCCACTTTCATGAATTTATCCTTGACTGCGTAGCCTAAATGGAATAACTGGGTATGCACATATATATATAAAGTTAGCCTACACGTACGATCTATGAGGCCTTGCCAATGTCTAATGAACATTGCGGGAAGTGTTATATAAATCCTATATCAGATAGAAAACTTAAACAAAATGCTGCGAATCAGCTATCAGAGGAATTGAACTAACCTACTTTAAAAACGCAATGCTGATTAAATGAAATCCGATTTGTTTTCTTTGTTGAACATGACTGTACTTTTAACAACGGTTGGTTGAGATTTCGTAAAATTGCAGTATGCTCTCATTTAATTGAAAGGTTTTCTACCAAATGTAAGCGCAATGCGAACAGATTTCTCATAATTTACTCGTCAAATGAAAATCATATTCTATTCTTGGGCACTAGCAGTTTCTGTGACGTTTCCAGAGGACGTTTTTGGTTTGACACATCACTGACTTATTGATTAAGGCGTTTAATACTATACGTCGGTAAGTTTCTGAAATAATATTTGCCTCCTCATTTCCAGTGGTGTCTTACTATAAAAATTCTTATTTATCATTGCATTTCAATGACATTCGAATTGACCTTTGAGAAAATAACACTTTTTTGTACCTTACATCAACAAAAGATTTAAAGCATGTTTAGGTTACTGCGTGTTCTGAGTAAGTGAATACGTTTTTAACCAGCCTCCCCCTAATGTGTGTGGTATCAAAAGGCCATGTATGTCAGCAATTACTTAGTTATATCTCATATTTTTTCATACAGAACACGAGTACAAGAAACCTCATTGCAAAACACAGCATTTATGTCATAAGTATATTATAAATCCTTCAAATTGGAAAAAATATGATTTGTCAGTCATATGTCGTGCATCTTGAAAAGTGAAATTTTCGTAGATTTAGAACGTTGTCGTGCCGGGTTTTTGACACTCAAAATCCCTATCACTGTTGTGGAGATTTCTTTGTCCCCGTCAAATAGGACTTATTATTTTTGTCTTTTATTTTGCCATTGTAGCATCAATATGCATGCAATCAAATTATGCTTTAGACATTAGAATTTGACATCACATAAGTTGAACCACGCCAGCGCTCTCTACCATACGGTGTTACAGAAATCAATACCGATCAACGTGTTATGCAGGATCGAGTGTTACCTACCAGGTCCGATAGCCATACACAGAACACATCCGATGATACTGGGCACGAAGTTACAGACGAGAGTGTACACAACACAGACTGCACTGATGCGGCCGTTAGATTTCGGGTCCATGGAAGATGTGACTGTATAAATGAATGTTTTGTACTTATGACTTGGTTGATAACATATTTCCTACACAAGTTAATGTCAGTGCTGTATCTAGAACAATTGAAAGATGTTGATATTCATAACTCAGTGTACATGTATAGGGATTTGAAGGTAATAAGCACACGCTTGTTTATATGTTCAAGACGTTTCCGAAAACAAAAAGCAAATATTGGAAATGGTGATGATAACATAGAAAAACTGATCAGCTTTAAACTAGCTGCAGTTAATAGTTTTTAAACAATAATAGTTTCTATGACAAACAACCGGACCAGTTGTTGTATGGACAAATTACATTGACCATTTGTATGAACAAACTATAATGACCAGTTATTTGGACAAATGGCAAAGGCCGGTGTTTTGGGCCCAGGGACATGGACATGGACAGGGACAGGGACAGGGACAGGGACATGGATATGGACATAGGACAGGAACATGGACATGGACACGGACAGGAACAGGGACATGGACAGGAACAGGGACAGGAACAGGAACAGGAACAGGGACATGGACAGGGACATGGACAGGAACAGGGACATGGACATGGACAGGAACAGGGACATGGACAGGGACATGGACAGGAACAGGGACATGGACAGGAACAGGGACACGGACACGGACAGGAACAGGAACAGGGACACGGACAGGAACAGGAACAGGAACAGGAACAGGGACACGGACATGAACAGGAACAGGGACATGGACAGGAACAGGAACAGGAACAGGGACACGGAGAGGGAACAGGAACAGGGACATGAACAGGAACATGGAGATGGGCAAGAACACGGACATGGACAGGAACAGGAACAGGAACACGGACATGGACAGGGACATGGACACGAACAGGGACATGGACAGGAACAGGAACAGGAACAGGGACATGGACAGGGACATGGACAGGAACATGGACATGGACAGGAACAGGGACATGGACAGGAACATGGACCAGGGACATGGACAGGAAAAGGGACAGGAACAGGGACAGGAACAGGAACAGTGACATGGACAGGAACAGGGACAGGGACAGGAACATGGACATGGACAGGAACAGGAACAGGGACGTGGACAGGAACATGGACCAGGGACATGGACAGGGACATGGACAGGAACAGGGACATGGATATGAACAGGAACAGGGACATGGACAGGACCAGGAACAGGGACATGGACAGGAACAGGGACATGGACAGGAACAGGGACATGGACATGGACAGGAACATAGACATGGACAGGAACAGGAACAGGGACATGGACAGGGACAGGAACAGGAACAGGGACATGGACAGGAACAGGGACAGGGACATGGACAGGGTCATGGACAGGAACATGGACATGGACAGGAACAGGGACAGGGACATGGACAGGAACAGGGACAGGAACAGGGACAGGAACATGAACAGGGACAGGAACAGGGACAGGAACAGGGACATGGACAGGAACAGGAACAGGAACAGGAACAGGGAAATGAACAGGAACAGGAACAGGAACAGGGACATGGACAGGAACAGGAACATGGACAGGGACACGGACAGGAACAGGAACAGGAACAGGGACAGGGACATGGACATGGACATGAACAGGGACAGGGACATGGACATGGACATGAACAGGGACACGGACAGGAACATGGACAGGGACAGGGACATGGACATGGACATGGACATGGACATGGACATGGACAGGAACAGGAACAGGGACACGGACACGGACAGGAACATGAACAGGGACATGGACAGGAACAGGAACAGGAACAGGGACATGGACAGGAACAGGAACATGGACAGGGACAGGGACAGGGACAGGGACAGGGACAGGGACATGGACTTGGACAGGAACAGGAACAGGGACATGGACATGGACAGGAACAGGAACAGGGACATGGACAGGAACAGGGACAGGGACAGGAACAGGGACATGGACAGGAGCATGGACAGGAACATGGACATGGTATTTGAAGAATTGTCAACTTAGAAGGCATACATTTAATGTTAAATTATGTCTATTAACATGATTACATTACACCTGTTTTTATTATCTGTCATTTTATCAATTATCACATTAATATTTTTAGAATCTGTGATGAACCCCTTATCTAACAAATGGACTCGTTGTATTGTGTTCATGCTTTGATCTGTCAACTTTGGATAACCATATTTACCAGTCACCTTGTTTACAATGAGGCTTTACATTCATTATACATCTAATTATATATTTAACAAAATCAAATATGAAACAGATGGTAATTTTAGATACCGTCGCAACTGGTGCACATCGTACATTATATAAATAATAGTTTGTAATGTAGGTTAACAATACTCAAACATAGAACAGTGGAAATGTATTATGCAAATATCAATAATTAGAAAAGCAACCAAGTACACATACAAAGACATACCAGAAATGATTGCTGTTATGATCAGAGGGACTATCATCATCTTCAAAACACGTAAGTAGAGTTCACCAACCATACCTAAATAACGAGAAAAAACAGACCTACTGAATACATAAAGTACATCAACCGTACCTAAAAAACGAGAAAACAAATTGACCTTCTGACTACAAAAGCACACGTTAGCATACATGGAGTACCCAGTAAACAGTAGAGTGTTGATGTCAATGTGTAGATATGTTTATTTCTGATAAAACCATTTCATTTCTATCGGGTATTTTTTTTTTTTTTCCCTTCTCACGCTTTTTATTTGCCTAAATGACACTACCTACGTCATTGTGATCTGTGATTTGTTATGGTGCAGGTATGAGAAAGTTAGTACATTGCAACAAGATGTTTACTATAATAATATGTCGTTTTAAGATGTTTACTATTACAATATGTCGTTTTAAGATGTTTACTATTATAATATGTCGTGTTAGACGCGTTTTAAAGACATACGGTGGACATATAAATGTGTTATGATTGTGGTATTGACATATTATGTCGACTTTATTATTTTCTGCCTTATTTTCAAATTGCATTTCTTATTCCGTGGCAGGTAGCATACTTTACGATAACAAATATAAAAAGATATGGAATAATAAATCCAAGTAAAACAATTGTCACTGTTCTGATAGTATACGTCTACGTTTTTAATAACACACGTGTATAGATATATAACTCAAAACGGTTGAATATAACTGACTTCAATTGCAACATTTTTGCCACTGTACAACATCTGTTTAATTTATACTATCTGCCACTGTACAACATCTATTTAATTTATATTATCTGCCGCTGTACAACATCTGTTTAATTTATAATATCTGCCACTGTACAACATCTGTTTAATTTATAATATCTGCCACTGTACAACATCTGATTAATTTATACTATCTGCCACTGTACAACATCTGTTTAATTTATAATATCTGCCACTGTACAACATCTGTTTAATTTATAATATCTGCCACTGTACAACATCTGTTTAATTTATAATATCTGCCGCTGTACAACATCTGTTTAATTTATATTATCTGCCGCTGTACAACATCTGTTTAATTTATAATATTGTTAGGCATATGTGTATATTTGCTGTATGTGACACCTACACTTCGTGTTCGATGTGGAGTTACATAATACATGTGTTATTGTGCTGACTAATGATAAAATGAAAATGATAAAGAAGCAGAAAAAAAGTTTGAAACAGATGCTAGAGATATGTGCGCCAGGTAATACATTCACAAGCGGACCATGTTTCCTTTAAGGCATGTACGCTTATCTGCCGAATACATACATATGAATGAGTAAAGTGGCAAAAGAGGCAGACTTTCTTTACAATTCACCGAAGATAACACACAGCGATCAAAGCTATATGAGGGTTTTACTTACTAGTCTTACAGATTGTCTGCATAAAAACGAAGTAATGCAACCAAACGGAGATATCTCCAATTCTACTAAGATCATAACGTTTGTTTCTAGAAGTAATTGTAGAATACAGTTATCGCATGCATTTTAGTGTTACATGCATCACATTTATTATCTTTCAAATAAACACATCTCAGACATAGCGTCACTCCTTGATATTTACCTACAGTATGATAATAACTAGCACATTCTTTGATTTTACC